TCTCTTATTTTTATCTTCTACAGCAAGGTCTGGTTGAGTTTTATTCACGCCGCACTGAAAGTCAGAGAGATTGGGCATCTTTTAAAACATTAATTAAATGGTCTGTGGTAGGACTTGGTGCAATCACACTGGTAGCATTTCTCGCACACAAAAAAAATCATAAAGTTTAATCATTTGTTATGGTGACTGTTACAATGAAGACATACATAAAATTATAGCACATTTCTACTCTTAAGTCGTTGAATAAAGCCAAACATTTGTAGCGTTATACATTTTATGGTGTTTTTTTTTCTTCTCCTCCGCCCTCCCCGTACCCATCCCAACCCTTATGTCGGATGTTGCGGTGATGTAAATCTGTTGGTTTTTTTTCCATGTGTTCCATGCATTAAATATTAAACACTATACATCTATACTCAATACAAGTTATACTTCATGCACAATTAACAAACACAATTAATCACAAAAGGCGATTTAAAATATATTTTAAATTTTATTTATTAAAAACAACCCCATTAACATACAGTCATAAAAATGTGTTATTTATATATCTACATTAGTATAAGGTGTCGTTAAAGTCATGGTTAAATTTATAAATGTCAAAACATTATATGTTTAGGGGAGATGTTGTCACATTGTCTGACTGTACTTGTCTTTTAATATAAATGTAAGAAAGTGCGTTTCTGTATTGCGTGTATGTATAAATCCCTGTGTTGAATGCCCTGAAACCTGTATTTGTTACATCACCCGGTTCCTTTATCGTGAGGACTAGTATAAATGACTATTTGTCTAGTGTGTTGTGGTTTAAGGATTAATAAAATCGGGATGTTTGTGAGAGGTCATCCTATGGGAAATTCATTGAGGTGATATAGATAGAATGTGGTGGCTGGAATTATCTCAACGGCGTATTTCGTATTGGGTCTATTGTGTTGTGCGTAATTTAGAATGTCTGATGTGTTTAAGTGTTCTAAAAAATCTTTAAAATCTACTCTATTGTTAATTAATTTAGGAAGCTCTAAGACGCATGCATTGTTGTTACTTGAGTGAAAAAACCTATATTCTCCTGTTTCTTTATGTTTTAAAATGGTATGGTGACTATAATTTATTTTGAACCGCTTAGTTTGTGTGTTAAATATGGTATCTACAAGTTTTGTATCCCAATCTATTGGAATAGTGTGTAGTGGGTTGTGAAAAAAATTGAATCTGGATAAATGTTTGCCTGTAGTTGCGTGTGTCTGTATGGAGTGCCAATTGTCAATGTATATGTTTTGTAATTCGCTGTTTAGGTTATAAAGGGTGTCAATTTCGTCTAACGGTAAGTCTAAGTCGATCATTTCCTCTAAATGTAGGTCTACCACAGCTCCCCTTAGGTCATCTACAGGTATAGCGTCGGTGTTTAAATTAACGTTACTGTCGTTGTGAGATGTCTTTAGGCGTTTGTTTGTTGTGTCGTCATAGGTCCTTTGTCTCTTTAATTGTATAGGTAGGTTGTCTGTTTGTCTGTCGTTTGCTAATGTAGGTTGTTCAGTTAGTCTGTCAGATGTTAATGTCGGTTGTTCGGTTTGTCTGTCGGATGCTGATGGGGCATCGGTTGGTGTAAGTAGGTTGGTGTGCACTATCCTATAGTGTCTCGTTAAATTAAATTTTCTTGTAAATTCTTGCCAGCATTCTATACATCGATGCCTTTCTCGGCCGTGTACAGTCTTGCAATGTTGTGTCAAATTTTTTTTTTACGGCTGAATGTACGTTCACATATGTCACATGTGTATCGGGCCATAGCTGGGTAGCTGGATGTGGTTGGGTCGGCTGGATGGGTCTGCTGTACAAAAAAAAAAAATTAAGACGAATACATTTGATTATTTATTTAAAAAATAAATAAGCTTTAATTAAAGGGTATAAGGCAGTATAAGCGTCTTTTTTATTAGTGGTCTAGTGGGTGGGTCGATAAAAATTAAAGTAAATACATTTGAAACTTATTTAAAACATAAATAAGATAATTAAAGGGTAAAATCGTATTTTTATTAGCGGGGTTAAATCCATTAAAATATTTACCTTACCTTTTAATGTCTAACTAGGTGTGAGATCGGTCCGTAGCAGGGTAGTTGTATGTGACTGGGCAGCTGGATGTGTTTGGGTCGGCTGGGTGGCTAGCTCAATGCCTTGTTCAGTAATTGGGTTGGCTGTACAATAAAAATAAAAGCGAATATATTTGACTACTTATTTAAAAAATAAATAAGACTTAATTAAAGGGTCTAAGCTTATTTTTTTTTTATTAGTGGACTAGTGGGTGGGTCGGGTGTACAATAAGATTTAATTAAATGGTATATCTTTATTAATGGCGTTAACTCCCTTAAAAGCAAAAATAAAATTATAAATAAAAAAATAAATAAATAATATTAACCTTACCTTAGTGCTGGATGATGTGAATGTCTAAGTTGGAGTGAGCTCGGTCCGTAGCAGGGTAGCTGGTTGTGTAGCTAGTTAGGTGGACGTGTAGATGCTTTGCAGTGCTGAGCAGTAGTGTTTAAAGTAAAACTTCGTCTGAATTTATACTTTATGAACGCGTGGGGAAAAAAATCCTGACTATCATTCTATAATTGGTCTAATTATGCAAGCGTGCGTCACGCAGATTTGGAGGTCATTGAACCCCACTACCATCCTTGGTTTACAAAGAAAAAATACCCCGTCACCTGCTTGATACATAAAGTCAAAAAGCTAATTTCTTTCAATTCACGGCTCGCTTCGCGGAAAAGATGCATCACTAATTATCTAGCCGTCCATGAGCGTTGGGGTATAGCTATTGTTCTATACTCACACGCCACGATTGCGCACAATAGTTTTGTCCTCATGGAATACAAAAGGGTGGAGTTTTAGGGCCATTGTGTTCCTTAAAAATCAATAAAGTGAATGACGTGAGTGTGTTTTGAATATATTTTATCGGATTACCACCGTGTCAACTCACCATTTTGTCATTACTTTAAAAGTCGTTACATAATTTTTAAAGGGAGAGCATTTGATATACAAGGATGTCTTTATTAAATAATTCTATTTGTTCTGTTGACTGTTGTATAACTATTAAAAAATAAAACAAAAAATAGAAATAAAAATATAATAAAAAAAGATAAAAATACTGATGATGAAATATTCTTAAAAAAAAAAAAAAGTTTACTCTTTAGACCAAATGATATATGAAGTGGTAGTGTGGTCAGCATTATACGCAGCCGCCTTTACTTTTCCTAACGTGAATTGGGACTCATCAGAGCTGTGTGAACTCAGGGCTACTATCTTGAAACAGGATTTGAACTCTAGACTTTCGGATTAGTGGTCTAACTGTACCATCACTTTATAAAAGATAATCCTGAAATGGGCAAGGAACTAACCTAACACGACCTTACAGCAATAGCGCAGACTATGGTCTAATTATTCTAAAGACGCTAATTATTCAATGTCTTCATTAATGATTGATCAAGTCAATATTATGTTTCATCAAGAAGAAAGAACACGCCGACCACAAAAAAATAAATAAATAATAATAATCTTTTTTCAAACAGCTTTTATCAAATCAAAATATAACAACTCTACGAAGCAGACAAGCCAAGAGAAGACAACCACAACACATAAAGCACTCACACTAAACTTAATTAACACGACTCGGACTAGACAAAGAACACAGGACAAAAAAAACCAGACTGGTAGTAACGTTTATATATAGATCAACTGGATGAGAAATAAGGAATATAGTCAAGCCTTGCTAAATAAAATAATTATTTTTAAAAATTTTCTTTTAAAGATAATTGATTAATATACTCTTTGATGTCTAGCCCTGGTCACTATTTTAGAAAGAAATCGTCACTAGGAATACTTAAAAAGTCGTGATTACACCATAGCCTCAACTATGTACATAAACGTACAATAAACCAACAACCTAGCACTTAAATATAATACTTCTAATATACTAAATATTAAAAAACCACCAATCAAACACCCACAACAAATAAAGCAATCACACTTAACATAATTAACACGACTAGACAAAAAACAGAGGACAAAAACAGATTGATAGTAAATAGTAACGGCTATTTATAGATCAACTGTATGAGAAATATGGCCTATTGTAAAGCAAGCCTAGCTGAATAAATTATTTTTAATGACTATTTAAACATATCTTTCAAAAAAAAAAATCGATACTCTATTGTTTGTCGTCGCGGCCGTAAAGGAGCGTCACGGAAGACAATAGGAGGAGGGGAACACCTGCTCCAGCTGGAGTATTTTACTATATAACATGTCTGCTCTGGCTGCTCAATATTTTACTATATAAACATGTCTGCACAAAATCGACTCAAAAGGGACCTACTATACTACTTGTGTGTAATAAGTACAAAATTACTAGAAAAAGTCAAAGAAATAATTACTAATAATATAGTAGTAATTTAGAAAACATTTTTATTTTAATTTGGATTAGTAGAGTCAGGGTGTTGTGGTGAATGGGGATGTTATATTATTTAATACAAATACGCTATTCACCATAGATCACTATTGTGTATTTTTATCATCGAGAACAATTGTTCTGACTTTTATTGTTTTAATCTCCCTGACCATTCCGGTAGACTTCAAGGAGAGGTTGAGGGCACTTTTTGAAAATATATGAATTGATAAAATAATTCTAAACGGCTTTTCAACGGCTTATATTCGATACAAAAATATAAAAATGAGCGTAATAGATGTTCCACAAACGGCTTCAATTTTTACAAATGTAACTATAATTTGATCGCTTGCCATATTTTTAAACAGAATTTTTTTGAAAAATTTAGTATGATTACACAGACTTTTCCTACCTATTGTATAGCGATCAAGTTAAAAAATAAAAATACGCGAAGTCCATGGAAAAAGATGAATGGCACAAACTGACAATCTAAGGTTGTTAATGGAATTCAAAAGCGAACAAAAATGAATTAGAAAACTTAATGTTAACTAACTTATTAATACGTATTTATTTCACTCACAGTCTCAAATATGCTTGAATTTTCTTGTTTGAGTTCAAAATTGATTATCCGCGGCCAGAGGTTGGTGGCCCGCCCAGTGACGTCAACGGTGCCGTCGATTGTAATGACCTCCTCGGCCACTGTCACGATGTACATGTTGATGACGTCACAGCTGATATCTGGGTGAGACAAAATGGCGACTCAAACACGTGGATAGTGTTGTTAATTTTAAATGATAATATTAATTTGACATTAATTTAGACAATATAATGAGAGTGTTGTCAAGTTTTTTATTTCCAAATGAAAATAGAATTTATGAACTTGATACAAGTAGAACTATACGATTTGACGACTAATGCTGATACTTCATTAATATACATAAGAATACCTACACATTTAAATATCTCTGGCTCTCTCGCTTGCTCTTCACCTCTTTCGCTATCTCTCGCTCTCTCTCGCTCACGTTTACTCTCTAATGTGGAGGTGTGGATTCAGGGACGTCGGGCAGTCACGAGTCAACGAGATTCAACTCGAGACCTTCAGGCTTGCAGCCGAGCTCTCTCACTCTCGACCACACCGCCCATACAGAGTTTCTTCCTTTCATCTCTTCGGCTTCAGCCCCCCGAAGAATGTCTACCCCCCCCCCCGAACGAAATGGAATTTATATTGAAAATATATACTTTTAGCAGTGTCCGCCCCCACCCACGGAAATTGTAGTCCGCCCCCCACACCGAAAACTCAAGTGCCCCCCACCCACACGGAGACAAAAGTCTAGAAGAAACACTGCGCTCATATAAAATATACTATCGGTATTATTCAAGGAATATATTTATGTAACTCTAGACATGTTTCTGTTCCTTTGTTTTCCAGTTCCCTACTTCTTTCTCTTATTTTAGTCAACGAAAGCACGTGAATGTACCTTTTATGGGAGGATTGACAATGACGTCACTGACTTTGTTCCTCCCGAGGGAGTCGGTCCAGGCGAGACGGACCTGGGCCTTGGAGCCGGTGGGCGTGGCCTGCTGCTGGTAGACGACGGTGTAGACGTTGTCCACAAGGCTCTCACAGTAGCAGGGTTGGGTGGAGGGGGCGGGGCATCCGTCTGAGAGGACATTGACCTGACACAGCTGTTTGATGATGAGAAATGTTTTTTTTTATAGTCGGCATCAGTAAATCTTCAAGATTTGTTCTCAAGGGCAGAGTTTCTTCCAGGCATCTCTTCGGGGGGGCGAAGCCCCCCCCCCCCCCCCCCCGAAATTTTTTTACCGCCCCCCCCCCGAACGAAATGAAATTTATATAAATTATATAGAAAATATATACTTTTAACAGTGTCCGCCCCCCCCCCCCCCGAAGAAAGTTTACCGCCCCCCGAAGATTTCAAGTGCCCCACCGTAGAAAAAACTCTGGAAGAAACACTGCTCAAGGGGGGGGGGAGGGGTTTGTAATTTTAGTTTCGGGGGGGGGGGGGAATGAGCGGAGTAAAATGTCCGGGAAAAGGGGCACTTGAAATTTGAGTGGGGGAAGCAGAATAAAATTTCCGGAGGTGGTGGTAGATGGGGTTGGGCGAACACCTGTACAAGTAAATATTTTCTATTTATATTCTATTTCCTTGGAGTGGGGGGGGGGGGGGGGGGGGGTAGCGGTAGATGAGGAGGTGCCCGGAAGAAACTCTGGTCGGCATATTACGAGATATGGAACGGCGTGCCCCATTGTTTCTTCCAGAAATCTATTGTCTTGTCTTGGGTAAAGTAAAGGCGGCTGGGAAAAATGCTGACCACATCTTCCCTTCATATGCCGAGGTCAAGAAACATCTGGCCAATGGATCGCTAGGTCTAAATGAATTCTTTACTAAAATTCATATTAAAGAACGCTTTTATTGAGAGGTATTGCGAAAGATCCATCCCAAGGTTTAGCTTGTCTTGCATGATCGTGTGTAAAAAAAAAAACACCCGGTCGATTGGTAGAGCGTTCGACTGTTAACTAGAAAGTTTATAGTTCGGATCCTGGCTTGAATCTGATGGACTTCACTGAGTCGATTCCATTCTAATGGGTACCTGACTTACGTTAGGGAAAGTAGATTCGGCTGTACAGATGAACTCTATTTCCCTGCCCTAAGGATCGTAAGGTTTGAATGGGTACCTAACTCTGTATCTCAAAAACTTAGGCCTACGATTAAAGTTTTAATTTACAATAAATATCATTTTCGAAATATTAATTAATTGACACGACATATTTGCAATTTTGCTTTAATTCTCAACATTTGACTTAATATTTGTTTATTTTATTTTGAAAACATCTTTAGCTATTACTTGAAATTCAACTAAGTATTTAACTTCAAGCCTAACGTAATTAAAATTAATTATGCAGCATATAGGCCGTTGACTCCGATTTCAGTTTTATTTTAGGATTTGTTTTCATAAGTCTTTGTCCTACCAAGAACAAACTACAAACTATAAGCTGCAGATGTTGGTTTTAGAGTTGTCTCCCCTAAAAGAGTAATTGCTCCCCCCCCCCAGCTATCGAGCCTCATATTTTGTAAAAGAAAGATAACATCCCTCAACAAATAACTTACTGTTTGATAGACATCCGAGTCGTAGTACTTCATTTTGAACTGAAGCGTCTGCGACGTGGCGTCTACGGTGTAGTCAGTGGCGTCGAGGGTCCCCCTGTATAGCAGGGAGTCAGCCCCTGTGATCAGGCATTGCTGGTTGGTTGCCTGCGACAGGTAAGTCAGTTCCAGAATCTGGCATTTGTCTGGTTATTAGAATAATGGCATTGTTTGGTTACAATTTCACAGGTAATGAAAAAAGGTGTGTAATTCGATACGTTCAAGAATAGCATATAATTCTGTGTTTTTAGTTCAAATATGAAAGCTTGTTACTATAAACGTTGTTTACGAATTTAAAAAAAAATGAAAATACTTAGTTATATTAGGATTTATTTGTACGGTCTAAAAGACTTGCTAAACATTTGAAAGCATCTAATGGTGTGTATAGCGCAGTAAATATTTACTTTATTTAGAAATCTACTTAAAATTTAATTTCACATCAAAAGTATGCACAATCTTTTGACATTTTCGAAGTCATCAAGTTTTGACTTAACGTGTCAAGTTCGAAACAAATGGGATTTGTAGGAGTGGTCAAAATTTAACTCGACATGTTCGATTCATGACTAAAAAGACAAAAGACAGAATGTCAAAACAAAATCTTTTAAACAAAATCTTTTAAAAACAGTTTCTTATAAATAATTTTTTAAATTTTGTTAACACAATAAGTCATGCAACAAACCTCGGATAAGGGGCAACTGTTTACTGGAGGTGAAAAAAGGTGTAGGTGAGTTGTCCCTCCATGTGAGGCGTACATCAGCCCTAGAAAAGGGCGTGGTCGCCGTTCCGTTGTAGACAAAGGTGTAGACGTTGTCCTGGAAGGATTGGCAGTAACAGAGCGAGGTTTGCTGGTCGGCGCATGCGCCACGTTTCATGTCCACTCGACAGTCCTGTGGGATGAGGATTTTAGTGGTTTTCAATGTGGTAAAATGTTACGTTTTTAAAATTTGATGGTTTTCAATGTGGAACTAGTAAAATGTTACGTTTTTAAAAATTTGATGGTTTTCAATGTGGAACTAGTAAAATGTTACGTTTTTAAAAATTTGATGGTTTTCAATTTGGAACTAGTAAAATGTTACGTTTTTAAAAATTTGATGGTTTTCAATGTGGAACTAGTAAAATGTTACGTTTTTAAAATTTGATGGTTTTCAATGTGGAACTAGTAAAATGTTACGTTTTTAAAATTTGATGGTTTTCAATGTGGAACTAGTAAAATGTTACGTTTTTAAAATTTGATGGTTTTCAATGTGGAACTAGTAAAATGTTACGTTTGCAAATGTAGAACTAGTAAAATGTTGTGTTTTTAAAATTTGATGGTTTTCAATGTGGAACTAGTAATTTTTTACGTTTTTAAAATTTGATGGTTTTCAATGTGGAACTAGTAATCTTTTAAATTTTAAAAAATTGATTGATTTCATTGTGGAACTAGTAAAATGTTACGTTTTAAAAATTGATGGTTCTCTATGTGGAACTAGTAAAATGTTACGTTTTTAAAAATTTGATGGTTTTCAATGTGGAACTAGTAAAATGTTACGTTTTTAAAAATTTGATGATTTTCAATGTGGAACTAGTAATCTTTTACGTTTTAAAAAATTGATGGTTTTCAATGTGGAACTAGTAAAATGTTACGTTTTTAAAAATTTGATGGTTTTCAATGTGGAACTAGTAAAATGTTACGTTTTAAAAATTTGATGTTTTTCAAATGTGGAACTAGTAAAATGTTACGTTTTTGTAAAAATTGATGGTTTTCAATGTGGAACTAGTAAAATGTTACGTTTTTAAAAAAATGATGGTTCTCAAAGTGGAACTAGTAAAATGTTACGTTTTTAAAAATTGAGGGTTCTCAATGTGGAACTAGTAAAATGTTACGTTTTAAAAAAATGATGTTTTTCAATGTGGAACTGGTAAAATGTTTCGATTTTAAAATTTCATGGTTTTTAATGTGGAACAAGTAATCTTTTACGTTTTTAAAAAATGATGGTTTTCAAATGTTGAAGTAGTAAAATGTTACGTTTTTAAAATTTGATGGTTTTCATTGTGGAATTAGTAAAATGTTATGTTTTAAAAAATGGATGGTTTTCATTGTGGAATTAGTAAAATGTTATGTTTTAAAAAATGGATGGTTTTCATTGTGGAATTAGTAAAATGTTATGTTTTAAAAAATGGATGGTTTTCAATGTGGAACTAGTAATCTTTTACGTTTTAAAAAAATGATGGTTTTCATTGTGGAACTAGTAATTTTTGACGTTTTTTAAATTTGATGGTTTTCAATGTGGAACTAGTAAAATATTGCGTTTTTAAAATTTGATGGTTTTTAATGTGGAACTAGAAATCTTTTATATTTTTAAAAGTTGAGGGTTTTTAAAAGTGGAACTGATAAAATGTTACGTTTTTTAAATTTGATGGTTTTCAATGTGGAACTAGTAAAATGTTACGTTTTTATAAATTGATGGTTTTCAATATGGAACTAGTAAAATATTACGTTTTTAAAATTTGATGGTTTTCACTGTGGAACTAGAAATCTTTTATGTTTTTAAAAGTTGAGGGTTTTTAAAAGTGGAACTAATAAAATGTTACGTTTTTAAAATTTGATGGTTTAAAATGTGGAACTAGTAAAATAATACATTTTAAAAAAATGATGGTTTTCAAACGTTGAACTAGTAAAAACGTTAAATAAACGCAACAACCATCTTACACTTTTTTAAAATAATAAAAAGTAGAATTTTACATTAAGGGTGAGCATTGGCCCAACCAAAAATAGTCAAAATTATTCGAAAGGCTCATTAAATATTTTTGAAAAATCACGTTCGATGGTTATAAAAATGTGACTGATTTTTGTTGGAATTTACTACAGATTGGATTTAGGCAATTTGATGTTTATATTATTTTGGTTGTTTACATTTTATCACATAAAATGTAAAATAAATGGCAGAAATAATGTTATTTAATAATTGTATCGAGTGCTTTTGCAGAAAAAAATGGATCACAAAGTTTCTTTTTGTCTTTTGAAAGTGAAAAAATCTCGTTATAACTTAGTCTTTATAAAAATAAATAGAATTGATGTAACCTTAAACTTATTTTTTTTTCAAAGTCTCTGGATATGTAACGTTTATGACATTGATTATGAAAATATTTGATTAAATAATTAATTTCAGGGTTTAGTTTAAATATTTCTTTTCAAAATCTACAAAAAAAAAGATTTTATCCCTTTCAACAATGATGATAGAAAAATTCACGTTATCTCTTTGATATCTATTAAATAATAATGCAAGGTCTTTTTTTATACAGACATTGCTATACATCGACTTCATGCCTTCGCCACGGACACTTGCTGTTTATCTAAACACTGACTAAGATCATTGTTACAAATATTGAACTCACAGTTCTAAAGGCCCTGGCTCCTGCGTACTTGACCTCAAAGTCTACGTATGACGTAGCGCTGTTGGCGTTCGTGATATCCACCTGACCAAGAAAAGCAAAACTGTCTTTGTTGGCCAACAGGCATTCGTCGGAAACAGATTTCGGTTGCAGAGAAAGCTGTGGTGGAATCGTTTCTGGAAAAAAATTAATTCATTAATGTTTTATAATATACATTTAACCCTTAAATGCATGACTTTTTAATAATGATTGAAAAAAATATTTTTATATTGTTTTGGTGGGTATATGAAGAGTATAGTCAAGTAAAAAAATATTTTTAGTTTAAAGATGTTCTTTAATGAAAATCCGAAATGTTGCATGTCTGCAACATTATGTAGTAAGGTGATACTTTTTAAGACAGTTGTTCATCTTGTTACAACAAAGATATATGTTGCACTTGTGGCAAACTGTTTGAGCTTGATGTGAATTTGCACCTGTCATTGCACTATTCAACGAGACTTAGTGTCCACACAGGTCCAGGAGATCCAGGGTCCATTCTGGTCCTAGAGATCCAGGGTCCACACTTATCCAGGGTCCACACTGGTCCAGGAGATCCAGGGTCCACACTGGTCCAGGAGATCCAGGGTCCACACTGGTCTTGTAGATCCAGGGTCCAAACTGGTCCAGGGTATCTAGGGTCCACACTGGTCCAGGATATCTATGGCCCACACTAGTCCAGGATATCTAGGGTCCACACTGGTCCAGGATATCTAGGTCCACACTAGTCCAGGATATCTAGGGTCCACACTGGTCCAGGATATCTATGGCCCACACTAGTCCAGGATATCTAGGGTTTACACTGGTCCAGGATATCTAAGGTCCACACTGGTCCAGGATATCTAGGGTTTACACTGGTCCAGGATATCTAGGGTCCACACTGGTCCAGGATATCTAGAGTTTACACTGGTAAAGGATATCTAGGGTCCACACTGGTCCAGGATATCTAGGGTCCACACTGGTCCAGAATATCTAGGGTCCACAATGGTCCAGGATATCTAGGGTCCACACTTGTCCAGGATATCTAGGGTCCACACTTGTCCAGGATATCTAGGGTCCACACTGGTCCAGGATATCCAGGGTCCACACTGGTCCAGGAGATCCAGGAAGATACTCTGGATCACCAAGAGCATCTACTTCATATTATTCTTCACCTTGATTCACATTGATTTCTTAATGATTATTCTGAAACTAGAAGAAAAACAAGGTACTATATAATCACCAATGCTGATGTATAAAGTAAAAAAAAAAAAGTGCAAAAGTAGGTCAATTTGCATTACGTTGTAGCACTGCAACCAAAGTTTTGTGAAGATTTATAAATAAATTATGAATTGATTTTCAAAACAACACATACAATATGTAATACATACCTTAGGTTGTCAGAAACATATTTTTTGAAATTCCAAAACCAGTTTATTTGACTTTGATGAACTTTGAAACGCCAACCAAAAATGCTGATATAAAAAACCTTGTGATCATGCACAAATTTGAGATCGGCTTGGCGGTAAAACAAATCTAGGTCACTTAGACATGCGCAAGCTGTAGGTTAACATTGTAGCAGTCAAACAACGTGATGCACAGAATAAAACATGTTTAGGCTAATATTTTATGAGAAGGTAACTGGTATGTTGCAGATTTGTACCGGTATGCATTTAAGGGTTAAAAATGTTTTAATTATAGAATAGTAAATACACATCAAAAAGTAACAACAAAGCAAGATCACTTTATATGTGAGGGAAACTTTTTATCAATGATTTGTCAATCTTAATTTTTAGAACTCGAAGATATTCTAGTCTTAGATGTTTTTTATTAACTACTATATAGTTTTATAATATCGGTAAAACGTTAATAAAAACCGCAACAGAAACAAAATAAAATCTACACCTTTGATGTAAGGGAATGACTGCGGTAGACTGTAGATAGAGTTGTAGAACTTGTCGCTCCACGCCAGTCTGGCACTAGCGTAGGAATATTTGGACAGAGCCACGCCCTGGTACCTGATTGTGTAGACGCCATTTTGGAACGTGTCACATGTACAGCTGGCGCCACTGGTGGTGGGGCAGCCATCTTTGCCAATGTCAACACGACAGGCCTAGAGGAAACAGACAACAAATATTAAAGACACAGTGTAGCTCTGAAGTCGTACACGCATAATACGAGACACAGACACATCATTTTGATCTATCTCTTATTAAATTCTTCTCATTCGTTCTCAATCGTATTGTTGGACTGAATTTCCTCGACCACAATTAAGTATTACATGTAAACCTGTTCAGCGCCATATAGGCCATTCACTCCAATTAAAGCCTGCTTTTCTTTCAGGAGTTAATTTATTCATCTAATAAAGACATTGTTTGATTTTAGGGTTTTTTGTCCTAGATGGGTTGCTATCCCCAGTTCTTGAGCCTCATTTACTTTACACACCCAACCAAGCCGAACTCTACCCTATATAACGTTATTTCCAAAGACATACATATATAACGTAATATTTTACTTAACATTCTCCCTAAGATTTTTCTCCTAATAAATAGCCACAGTAAATATGTTCAAAGCAATATAACGTCTTTATATATGTGAAAAATTGTCGGTTTCTGAGCAATTTCGATTTGAGTGACAACTTTATCGAAACAAAAAACTCTAGACATAGTCAGGGAATGGTCGAGTGTGTGTGTGTGTGTATGTGTGTGTGTGTGTGAGGGGTTACGTTCCGCACAACTTAGCATCAATTTGGGGGCTTACATCACTTTTTAAAAAATTGCAAAAGATAATCGCCTAAACAACTGTAGAATAATAAAATAGTGGCGCGGGATGACGCCAAACCGAAAATAAAATACTTAAAAAAAACTTAAAAAAAAAACACGTTTTTCTTGTGGACTAAAAAGTAGAAAATAAATTTTCATACATTTGATGACAAAAAACGTGGGTACGTTCACCATCAAATTTCCCGACCCATCTGCCCGACCCACATTTTTTGTCATCAAATGTATGAAAATTTATTTTCTACTTTTTAGTCCACAAGAAAAACGTGGTTTTTTAAAAAGTTTTTTTTAAGTATTTTATTTTCTCCTTTTTAGTCCGTTGCTACACATGAAAAACGTGGTTTTTAAAAAGTTTTTTATATAGTTTATTTTCTACTTTATCTAATCACTTGATTAAGTATGACTTGACTAAGTGTTTTTAAATACACGGACTAAAAAAATCTTGAGCGACCGATACGCTTTAAACAGAGAAAGGGTGTAATTTACGTTGCAGGCGTGGAGATCTACTCACGAATCACGTGATCAAATCTCCCATAAACAAACAAATAAACGCGAAGCTGAGTTAAGGAAAAACGTGTTTATGTGTATTTTAGCATGCCCAGCGTACCAACCGTGTCACCGTTAACAATGTGTTATCGTGTCCGTTCTCCTTTTTAGTCCGTTGCTACACATAAAAAACGTGGTTTTTTAAAAAGTTTTTTTTTAAGTATTTTATTTTCTCCTTTTTAGTCCGTTGCTACACATGAAAAACGTGGTTTTTAAAAAAGTGTTTATAAATACACGGACTAAAAATCTTGAGCGACCAGGATTCGAACCTGGGTTGTCGCGGCCACAACGCGAAGTACTAACCACTATACGATCACGGCCAGCGCGCTCACATCGATTGGGGCCGAAGTAACTGTGTCAATAGGCCTCAAGTCTTGTCGGTATCTTTAGAAATCATGTCCTCAATTTTATGGTCCTTGGGGCGTAATTAAATTAAGCTAATTACGGTCACTAATTGCTAGTTTTTATGATTGCATCTGAAATTGTTAGGCGAAAGTAGCATGCATGCCAAATTTCAGGTCTCTAGAGCAATCAGAAGTGGGCTAATTTTCGATGTCAATTTTAACAACAAACATCCAAACAACCAAACAACCAAACAAACAAACGCGAAGCTGAGTTAAGAAAAACGTGTTAATAAAACCCTCGCTAACTGCATCGGTTGGCACCCGACCTACGTGACGCTACTGAATAAGCTTAAGGAAAATATTATTGTGATTTTTCTATCATGGGTAAATGTGTTATGTTACATTTTACTGGATTGTAAAACAATACAAGGTTAGCTAGCTACCTACAAAGTTCTCAAGCTATAAATAAATGTTCTAATTTTAACTCAACATAACAGTGTTGTATTGTTCGTTCCACAGTACAAAGACCTAATTAAAATAATTAAAATATCTCGTCAATATTATAGGCCTAATCTGTTAAGTTAATTTAATCCTTTAATCCCATAGACTTACAGCGTCATAGGTGCTCGCTCCACTCAGTTTGATTTCAAAATCGATCTTTCTCGGCCAAGTGACGCTGTCCTTATCTGATATATCGACGGTACCGCTCAGGTAAAATGTTCCAGCGACCACACTCACAGGCTGCAGGTAGAGGGCGTCACAGGTGTAATCTGCAGGTAGAACAATGTATTTGATTACACAATGGCGGTGGGTATTCTCTGCAGGTAGAGGGCGTCACAGGTGTAATCTGCAGGTAGAACAATGTATTGTGTTACACAATGGTGGTGGGTGTTCTCAGACCACACTCACAGGCTAAAAGTAAAGGGTGTCAGGTGTTATCTGCAGGCAGTTGGAAAAGAATATTTTATTACACAATGGCGGTGGGTATTCTCTAACATTCATAGGTCAGGTAGAACAATATATTTGGAGCAAAGCTAGCGAAGAGCTTCTGAGGTCTAAATAAATTTTTAAAATGGCTCCATTGTCCGATAGACTTTATTGAGAAGAGCTAGATGTTACCCATGTTTTATGGTACCCATGCACTACACTCAAGGAAGTTGAGAAGAGCCAGATGTATCCCATGCAGAGTTTCTTCCAGGCATCTCTTTGGGGAAGGGGGGGGGGGGCTTTCCGAAGAAATTCTACCCCCAACCCTGAACGAAATGGAATTTATATGGAAAATATATACTTTTAACTGTGTCGACTCCCCCGGAAATTTTAGTCTACCCCAACCCACCAAAAACTTCAAGCGCCCCCCCCCCCCCCAGAGAAAAAAAGTCTGGAATGCACACTGAAATCCCAAGAATTATCGTACCCGCACACCACAAAACTGATACACTTAAGGAAGAGGCAGCATCTATACAACATGACCTCAGCTGTATCGCAGATGTTTGATGAAAGGACGTTCCGGGTTAGGCACCATAGTGTTTTCATTACCGACACTACTTGGGTCTACACAGTAACTAAACAATTAATTATCAAATGAAACCCCTAAGTACAACAGTTACAGGGTGTGGTTTAACCAATACGAGTAGAAGTGTATACTTATTAAAATTATTATCCTGGTGTCTACCCCACCTGTACCCGTAGTTAGTTAGGTGACACTGTACACCTGGAGACCGTGATTTTTATCTGCTTCGTGGCATTGATCGGATCAAAGCCTTGGTCTGAAATTAATTGGGTGAAACCCGAGCCACGTGATACATAGTGTAAGGACGCTAAAGTAAAGGCACTATTTTCCCCCCTACTTAGAATGTACAGGTATATTTGGTGCAACTGCACTAGCCAATTTAAAATTAACATTGTTCTAGTGTTGCGGTACTTGTTTCTCAACATAGAAGCTAATTATCACAATTTGGCACAGTCTACAGAGAAGGATTACCTGGCTTCCTTATGAAGCCGACATGTTTGTGGGTAGATAAAATAGATATGTACTACGGTGTTTGTTAGAAAACCAGCCTGACCCAGGTGCACTAACTATAGTTGCCCAAAAATTGAGTTAACACCATTATTGTAATAACAGTATCATTTTATGTTCTTTCTTACTATAAATTGTGAAGCTATTAAATCTCTAGTTTGGAAATTTAAAAAAGTCAAGTTCTTTTTAAGCCTGACTATCCATGGGGTAATTGAAGTAGAGTCCACATGTTTCTCCGTAATTTACGTTTAATTAGTAACATAACATATAATTTACGTTTACTTAATAACATAAAATACCTTTTATTGGCGGGAAGCTGACGTCTGAACTGTACTGTAGCGTCTGCTGGCTGTCTTTCCAAATGAGATGGGCCGCAGCTCTTGTGAGATAAGTTGCTGATTTCCCGGTGTAGATGATGGTGTAGATGCTGTTGTTGTAGGACTTGCAGTAGCAGGTAGAGGAGGTAGTGGTGGTGGTGGGGGCGGGGGAACAGCCGTTTGTGATGAGGTCAACACTGCACACCTGTGAGGGGGAAAAGTCATGTGAACTATACTGTTATATTCTAGATATGAGCATTGAAATTATATTGTTAATCGCAGAAATAAATACGGTTCAATTTGAAGATTATATCATCAAACAATGAAAAACTCTGTCAAAGATTAAAACAATATGGGCGAACATCAAGAATGTTTGGTCTAATACTGAGATTGTAAGATCAAAACCCATGATCATTATATGCTCAAACACAAAATCCAAGATACCTTGTTACAAAACTAGAATCTTACGTTCGAACTCCAGTACAGTACGGTCGGGTTCAAGATTGACTGCAAAAACTAAGAAAGTATGGTTGAAAACTAAATTCGATTTCAAGAGCGTTTGATACAGTCGAATCTAATATTGTCTTTTTAAAATCAAAGATAGTATTGTGAAAAACTAAGATCGTATCGTCGAGGAATAAGAGGGTATCGTCCAACCCTAAAAGGAAGGGAACAGCCACATCCTAAATAAACAACAAAGTAATGCTACCATTTAAATTAAAGAAAAAAAAAGGTTTTACCGTATTGAACGTGTCGGATCCGACTTCTTTCACAGCGACGTCAACCCTCTGGGTAGAACTATCGACTGTGGAGCCAGTGACGTTTAGAGTTCCAGAAAATGTGAAGTCGTCTGCTCCTGAGACCAGACACGACTGGTTACCTGTCCCAGGTACATAAGCCAGCTTAAGGGGCTGGCACACAAACTCTGTAGGAAAAAATATAGTTTTAATTATATATCATATGGTTATCTTTATCAAGAAGATTCGATCAACTTTTATTCTATTAATACAAATTTACCAGTTGAAAAGTTGTTTCTCATGAAAACATGATATTTTCCTTAAACGCAATCATTTTCAAGGGTCGGCTTTTAGAAGGGAGATGACCATCATATCTCCCTTTTACCAGATTCACATCTACAAATAACATCTTATAGCACATGCGCCACTGACCATTATAAGGACGACTTTAGATAGCATTTGCCAGATGTGTCATTAATTAAATGGGCGCTTTGACGTGGGCTGTACTGCATATTTACCAGTAACTAGATATTTACCATTATCTTGACATTTACTTTTAACTTGACATTTACCTTTAACTAGACCTTTACCTTTAATTTTACATTTACCTGTAACTATAGGTACGCTCAGGGTGGGACTTAAGAAGGTATTTACCTATAAATTTACCTTTACATTTACCTTTCACTTGACCTTAACCTTTGACATTTACCTTTAACTTGACCTTTATCTTTAACTTGATATTCACCTTTAACATGACATTTACCTTTAACAGTTCACTTGACCTTTGCCTTTAACTTGACCTTTACCTTTAGACCTTAACCTTTGACCTTTACCTTTAACTAGAGGGACGCTCAGGGTGGGGCTGTAGAAGACATTACCTTTAATTTGACCTTCACCTTTAGACCTTAACCTTTGACCTTTACCTTTAACCAGAGGCACACTGAGCGTGGGGCTGTAGAAAACATTTCTCGACGTGTCCCTCCAGACCAGCGTGACCACAGCCTGGGACATGCTCAACATGGCCGTGTCCTCGTACACGACCGTGTAGATGTTGTTGTCAAACGCGGCGCAGTAGCACTTGGGCCCGACCTGGGGGGTGCAGGAGATACGTCGCATGTCCAGCTTACAGTCCTGGGGAGGGAGGGACAAGGGTCGTGTAATGTAGTGACTAGACACTGAAGTAGGTCAGACGTAATATGTTAGTTCAATGCAGTAACAAGTGTGAATGTAGTTAGCGAAAAAGCGCTCACCATACGGAAAGGTCGGAGGCGCTTTTTACCAGTCACTTTATTTTAAGTTTTTTTTTTAATTTTTTTTTCTTCTAAATTTTTGGTGTAGAAAACAGTTAAATAAGTTCGCAAAGTTTCTAAAACAAAGCAACTTCTTAACTTTGACTGTCTATGTAACAGCTCAGAACGCTATTTCATTTAGTTTTCCATTGGTGCATCGACCGGGGTGGGCGCCCCACCACCTCCATTGTTTCTTCCAGACTTTTTTTACCGTGGGGGGGGGGGGCACTTGAAATGTTTTAGATGGGTTGGGGGCAGACTAAAATTTCTGGGGGGGGGGGGGGGGTGGAGCAGCAGTCACTGTTACCTGTTAAAAGTATATGTTGTCTATATAAATTCCATTTAGTTCGGGGGGGGGGGTTGGTAGATTTTCTTCGGGGTTGGGGGGGGGGGCTCTGCCCTCCCGAAGAGATGCCTCTGTTGGGTAATCCTTTTAATAGTTTCAAGGAACTCAAGTTCAAATATAAATCGTCTTAACATCATACATTTATAAGTGTGCCGTCTATGCTGAACTCAAAGTCCAAGGTCCTGGGTGAGCTACTTGAAGCATCAGCTGTTCCAATCAGCTGATAGGTCTCTGTGTTAGCGATCAGACAGTCGGTGCTCGATACGTTCTGGGTCAAGGTCATCTGTTGAGATTGGACTCCTAAGAGAGATAAAAAAGTATTACGTTTTAAACACATATTGGCACCTCTAACTTGAAACACACGTTTGCAATATGTGAACTACAGTAAAAATCTTTTTTTTTTTAAGCCAGAGTAAAATATATTCACTGTCACTAGAAAGAGGTAATAATTTACGTAAAAATCTTTAAAGGTTCTGTATAATAACTTAATTATTTAAAAGATATTTAATAAAGATTTTAAACTTACCTTGTAAGATAAAGATTAAACCTATAAAGATTAAAGTTGATTTTGTATGTTCCATTTCGACTTGTAACTAAAAGTGTCAAGAAAAATACAATTCTACAAACCGCTGTTACATACAAACTTCCACATATTAAATTTTGTATTAGGGATAGTTAATATATTGCTTAAAAACTTTGATCTTTTTCTACTATCCTTTATTTGTTTCTCAATAACACTGCATGCCTACGCAAGGAGTGACATATACAATTTGGTCAGCATGCTTTCATCAATCAAGAAAGTCGTAATGGCCGAACTAGAGATTATCTGGAGTACACGATCTATTATTGCAGTATTTTAGTTCCTTGCTTTGTCTGAAGTACCCCAAAGTTATGTGAAAACTTCGTCTTATTTAACATACTTGTATAGTGAAATAGATAGGACAAAGTGGCCAACGAGGTAGAGCGCTAGTCTGCTAACCCGAGAATATCAAGTTCGAATCCGGGTCCAAGTCAGTAGAACGTGCCTGATCGGTACATAACTCATGTTATGGAAGGTAACGGCAGCTGGACAAAGTGCTGACCACACATCTCTTTCACATGCCGAGGACAAGAAACAATGAAATCTACTACATCTGTCCAAATGCAACGTTAGGTCTAAAAAGAAATAGGTAATCTTAACTTTAAAGAATAATTTGATTTGTTTTCGTGTACACATTTCAATTGAATTTTACTTTACCTTTTTATAAATTAAATTCTTAAAAAATAATCCAGCTCCTACGCCACGTTTACCATCGTTTATTTTCGTTGTATTTGAACTCTTTACAGGCGTCTATGGTGAGAATACCCTTCACCTTGCTCAAGGCTAGTCTGAAATAAAAGCTGGTATATATAGGTCTGTATAGTGAAAACACCAGTTTCATTGGCTCATAGATAATTAGGAAAAAAAAACATAGAACACAATTGGATTGGTTTGAAAATGCGGCTTAATAAAGAATATATATTTCAAAGCTAATTAAAAAAAATCAGGATGGCGACGAAGATAATTGACATAAATTATTACTTAAAAGGATTTAAAACGGAGAAAAAGAATCTATTATGATGCTTATCATACTATTCTGGGGGCAAATTCAATATGGGACTTTAAATATCTGTGTAGTATTTTCAAAAGGGGCAGAGAGATCGGCAAATGCAGAAGAAAGAGCCATTATATTTTGGAGAATGTGGGGGGTTTAAAGTCACACAGTGACCTACTGACACAATTTTACGATTGAACTAAAATTCTAACCTCCCGCATGACGTTACCTGTAGGTATTTATTATACTGGTGTAAGGAAGGTATTCTCAATTTTTGGTCATCACCCAACGTCAAGGCAAGTCAAACTGGGATTGTCAAAGTCGGGTTTTGAATTATTTGAATTTTGGTGAGTAAATGAATATTAATTTTTTTTTTATTTAACTTGCTTCTTCTGTTTTTTTTATATCTGTTGTCATGAATCGAAACTGCCAAGCGAAATTTCGACCACTTCTAGGAGACCAATTTCTCTAAAAAATTGGAACGTGGTTCAAGACCCAAAAATAATGCTATCTGAGATCGATGTTGAAAAAATAAGAAATAATACTGCAGTTTTTGAAGGGTGTGCTAGGCCTTTTAAGAGGTGGGTCTGGAGGGGGAGAGGTACAATTCGCACAAAAAAATGACGTAATTTATCGTTGAACCCTTTATAGTTAATTATTTTTGTGAAAAAAAAACAGAAGCAAAAATTACAGTTTTATGTTATCCTATCGATTAGAATAACGTCTAGACGTCATGTTGCATGCTTGGGTGTGATGAGTCCAGTTTTGTTTCTGAAATACTCCACGATCATCATAAAGCTGACGGAAATCACACCAAATACTAAAGCAAAGGTGAATTTTATAAGAATTTTATTAAGTATGTTTCTTTTGTATGTAAGTCTGTTTTTCACTTCTAATTCAGCGATGTTGTTCAAGCTTTCCAGACATATTCATTTAAAAAGTTAATTAGATGTTAGGTTAGTCATTAAAACAATTAAAAAATTACTCAACTCAATAATGAAAGGGGAGGTAAAAATATTGAATACTAGCGATTGCCGTATCATCTGGCTGTCGATGGTGAATTATTTCTTTCACGGCTGAGTGATTGTTTATATGAATTTCTCCACCACGTGATTAGACGATGCCTTCGGCGTGGTCGAGTCGGTAAAGCTCATGGTTGCTAAACTGAATAGTCTCGAGTTCGAAACCTCAGGCAGATGAGGCTCGTTAGCTGGGGACAGCCATTCTTCTAGGAGAGACAACTCCAAAATCAATTAACTGCTGCCTTGTAGTTTGTTCTTGGTTGGACAAAGGCTATGGAAGCAAATTCAAAAAGAAAAGCAGGCTGAAATCGGAGTCAATGGCCTCAATGGCGCATAACCAGTTGACACATAACCTTAATTGTGATGGAGGCATGGTCGAGTCGGCTAAAGCTCATGGTTGATAAATACGAAAAAGTCTCGAGTTCGAACCCTGTGGCAGATAAGGCTCGATCCCTGCCAACACTAAAAATTAAGAACGAAGAAGAAGAAGATGCCTTTTACTGTTTTTTAGAGAACTCTAGCTACTGGTCGGGGTTTAATGCACATATTTTTTAGTTTAGCCTATTTAGTGGCAACTTTATTTAGAACGTATAGCAAAAATGTAAGAAATATAAAAACTTTTATAATAATAAGCTTGTGACTGAAAATAAGAAAATAAAACAAACTTGTTTCCTTTTATAATCCTATGGAGATGGACAGGAGCATATGTAGTGTCAATTTCATTACATACGAGCTGACCCGCGACGTAGCACACGCCGCTATCTAGTTGTTTTATTTTCTACTTATCAACAATTCATAATTTGTGAATTTGACACTACCCCACCCCCTGCCTCCCCCACCCCCACCCCGCCCTGTGAAAGCAGCCGTTTAGAGACTACAATGAAAATATCAAGCAGAACTTATTATTTCCGCTCAGTTTCAAATCGTCTAAAAACTAAATTATCTGCCCCTAATAGCCGTCACTTATTTGAACCGGCTCTACTATTGTAAACATTCGGGGTGAACCACAACTCACCTGACAGGTGGGGATGAGGGTGGTGGCTAGACTGCTGTGTGTTTTCTATGGTGTCTATGAAGATAATTATATATATACGAGCCGACCCGTGGCGTATAATATGCCACTATTTAGTTGTTTTATTTTCTACTTTTCATTAATTCATAATTTGTGAATTCGACAGTACCAATGCTGCCACTGAAAATATTTGCTTTAAAACACTATCAGTAGGTCTTTAAGGACGATACCCCCCCCACTCCTTTCCCCCGTGAAAGCAGCCTCCTCTTAGTTACCTCCCCTAAGTATAAAAAAGTTTCAAAGTACATTATCTGCCCCTAATAGCCGTCACTAAACCCGGCTCTTCGATTGTAAACATTTAGCGTGAACCACAGCTCACCAGACCATGTGGGGATGGGGGTGGTAGGGATATGAGGGTTATGGCTGAGGCCGTATGCTCCACAAGGTGTAAAGAGGATTATGTCCTTAATAAAATCTTTGGTCGCTCATTAGTTTTCTAACATATTTTGAAATATTGAGTTTTATGTTCATGTTTTTTTTATCATATTAGTTAATCTCATACATTTAAAAAATGTTTTATTCACTGTGACGGAACTACAGAAAGAGATGAATTAAGATTGTTTAGGTATTTAGATTAAGGCTTAGAGAGTTTAAAATATATTGTTGACTCTATGACGAGTCATATTATTTGTGTACTGTGTTTTGTTTTGTGGTGTAGGATTTTTACTTGTGTTAGGACATGTATATTTAATGTTGTATCGCTTGAACGTTTAGGAAATACTTTACTTCATCATTTTCTGTTTTAATTCTTAATTAGTATTTACGATCTAAGGTCTTAGAAGCAGATGAACTCTACTTCATCTGCCCCATGTGTCTTGGGTACGAACGGGAAATGATGAAGTTGATGATTTACGTTCTAACCCCACATACTATTATCGTATCGGATTGCAATGTTGTATAATTTTAAAGTAGCTCATGTAGATTTTAATCTTACACACATAACTCAATGAACTAAGTACATTTACATGTGCTTGAAGAAGTAATAGAAGTATGTAGGCCTGCATGTTGAAGATTATGTTCTGTTTCTCATAACATTTTATTCTTAATTTCGTTCGTAATTGTAATATTAGAGGAAGATTGATTCAAACACAAATATAATTTGTCGTTATGTTGTGCGCCACATAGGCCGTTGACTCCGACTTCAGCAGATTTTCTTTCTGGATTAGCTTTCATAGCAATTGTTCCCGCAAGAATAATCAAGCAGTTGACTGATTTTGGAGTTTACTCTGGTAGATTTTATATCTTTCTCCAACTTAAGAGTCTCATCTGCTCGGGATCCGAACTCATGGCTTTTGGAATTAGCATCTAACCATAGCTTACCCTTAATTTGTGACATGCTCCTTTTGTGCATTGTTATCAACATAAGGCAGTTATTGAGAAATTATTTTATTTACATTCCTCTATTACCTTGCAACAACATTAATTTATAAAGGAGCAATATTAATTGTTACTGTGGAAATGGACCTAAACTCATTATGATGGAATTATGCTGGAAACCGAATCAATTTTTTGACGTGCCATACATCTAGATAGACCAGGGGCGTAGCGAGGGGGGGGGGGGCAGGGGGTGCGGACCGCACCGGGTGACACCATTTAGGGGGGTGACACCAAGGCAAAAAATAGCAAAATATATAGAGAAAGACTCGACGGGGGGGGGGGGGGGGGAGGGTACAAATCGAAACTTTGAGGGGGGGGGGTGCAAATCGAAAGTTTGAGGGGGGGGGTGCAAATCGAAAATTTGAAAGTTTGTCCCTGGGAAGGGTCTCTATGCCTCTGGGGGGTGACACCATTAAGTGCCGCACCGGGTGACACCCGACCTCGCTACGCCACTGAGATAGAATAAGAAAAAATAAAACTTTAGACCAAAAACTTTAAAATGATTTTAATACTGGTTTTTCGAGTCATCCATAGAAATCAAAAAACATCTTTTAATAACGATTTAACATTATTAAGTGTCTGAGAAAAACCGTAAAAACATGAACATACACAAACAACACATTTTTCTTGCTAGAATATAACTCAAACTACTTGTAACTTGCATGAAGTTTCGTTGTACTCTCTAGCAAGATTCCATCGTTTGAAAATTAACCAACAATTTATTTGGTGTTGTAACGATCCATGTGACACTTAAATTCATTGATGTCACAAAGTGCTTTGCGTATTAAAGAAACATTTCCACTGTTCTAAAGACAAATTTAAACAAACATCAAAAAGTAGCAAAACATAATTATATAAGTAAGTTTACTTGTAATATTAAACATACATCAATGAGTAGATAACTCAATTTCATAAGTAAGTTTACTTATAATATAAAAACAAACGCTTTGCAAGATAGTGCTAAAACCTATTTTGCCAGAATTTTGAAATCAAGCTTTAAATATAAAAGACAATGATGCCAACAGCTGTGACGATAAAGACATTCAAACTGATGAGCTTATCGCAACCTGAGTCTGTGAAGTAAACAAACAAATATACAATTGATCATTGGTAAATTAGAAATTTACTGATTACCAGAATCAGATTTACATAAATAGCATAACGTAGTAAAACATATAAACAGTGAATCGTCAATTGCAGATTTCTCTATTCTAAAAGTACAATCATCCACACCTATATGGATTTAGTGACTTCCTGAGGTCCTGCACTCTTCATCATCCACATGGGTTGGATAAACACAGGTTTATTGAAGGATTAAGTGTACACCCCAAAGCTAAATGTGTAATCTTCACGCATACCTTAGGTACCACAAGAAATATACTGGCAGGACTTCAGTATGCTTAAGTGAGGCAGGGGCTTTATAATCAGGTCTGCCTGCAGGTTTTATTACCCTAGGGACATAAAGTCAGGACACCTATATGGCGGGGGGGGGGGGGGGGGGGACGACGACTTTATAGTCAGGTCTGCCTGTAGGTTTTATTACCCCAGGGCTATAAAGTCAGGACTCCTATATGGTGGGGGGAGGGGGAGGGGGGCTATATAGTCAGGATGTCTGCGGGCTGAAATATTGCAGGGACTAGATTGGAATAATTTCTGGAGTCACTTGCAGGGTCTTCCGAAAGCTTTTTATGCTGGATTGCAGTCACTAGAAAAACATCTTTGTTAGACAGTTAGACATCAAGCCTTATATTTATGCAACACAACCTCCCCTACACAAGCATCAGACCAAGACTACATCTACTCACTTTCAAAGTACGGGAAGTTCGACTCCCTGCTGTAGAGGACATTGGAGGAACTGTCACTCCAGGCCAAGCGAGCAGGGGCCTGCGAGTATGTTGACAGAGGGTAGCCGTTGTAGTAGAGGTAGTACACATTCCCCTCAAACCTGTCGCAGTAGCAGTCGTAGCCCGGGGGGGAGGGGCATCCCTCGTTCTGTACATCAACTGTGCAGGTCTTTCAGGAAAAAAAAATTAAATAAAAAATAAACCGGGAATGATCTCCCCTAAACTTTCTCGAATATTCTTATATAAAACATCGGGGCGTGGCAACTCGGGATATAGACATGATTTTTCATCCATTTTTAATTACTTACTTACGGGATATTATTAGTACTTTATAAATTCACATGCGTTTTTTGAGAAATCGGGAATACCCTAAATTACTACTTCCGGCCAACGGAAATTATTCAAAAATTGATAGGAGCCAGAGAATTAGATCTTTTACTTGTGAAATTTCATTTATCTATATGAAAAAAGTACTCAAGTTATAGGCTTTTGAAAGATTCAAAGTAGAAAAATTTCCTCTTCCGGTTATCGGAAATCGCTCGAAATTTGTTACGGATCTACAAAATCAATATAATACTTACATATGAAATTTCATCAACCTAGCTGTAACGGTACGCAGGCTATCGTGTTTACAGACACACATACATACACACACACACATACATACACACACAAACATACGGACAAGATTGCAAAAGTATGTTTTTCCGACTCAGGGAGATGTAAAAAAATTTTTTTGCACGATTACAATATTTTCTCTATATGTCAACTCTGTATATACGAGAAAGTAAAAATATAAATATATGAAAATTAGTACGCATATCTTAAAGGCCTTTCAGGAGAAAAAAGTATTAAAAATATTAAAATATATTAGCAAATAGTACGTATCTCGTATAGATCTTTCAGAAAATAGTTAAATTAAAAAAATATTAAAAATATATATAAAAATAGTACGCACATCTTAAAAGTCTTTCAGTAAAAAAATATATATATAAAAAATATTGAAATACATAAAAATTAGTAGGCACATCTTAAAAGTCTTTCAGAAATATTTTTATGAAAAAATCTAAAAAAAAATGTACGAACATCTTGAAGAAAAAATTGTATGCTAAATATTGTTTTAATATACTTGAGATCATGCATATTAAGGATGCACATTACGAATTCATTTTTTTTGGCTAAAATACAAGAGAAATAATATTAAGTATAACTTTAAAAGCCTCAGTATTTCAATTAGAAAACCTTGGTTAAAAAAACATCATCACTTTTTCATCAAGGTTTTTGAGAGCCAATGTTTTTACTTTGATAAGTTTACACTAATAGCATTGTAATTGACTTGATATTGTTTACAAATACAGAATCAACAATCATTTAATGAGCAACAAATATCTCAGTAAAAACCTATCACATAATACTGTATGTTTGAAATGTATATTTTACCGTTTGAAAATCGTCATAGCCCCATTCACGGATTTGAAAACTGAAAATCCTCGGCCACTCATTCTCATCCTTGTCTGTGACGTCCGCGAATCCCTCCATGTTGAAAATGGAATCCGGTATGACGGATAAATATGTGATTTCAAGGGGATCACAATGGCCAACTGCAGGGAAAGATTTCGTGTTAAAAATATATCAATCCGATGTAATAATGCATTGAGTTTCTGTGTTCATGATATAATTAAGCTATTAAAATAGATCAAAGCGAGGGCGATAATGTAAGTAATTTTAAGGACTGTCAAATTGGATAAAATACTAGGTATTTGGTCAGTCTATGTACCTTCCCTGTTATTACAATGCTGTAAAGTTTTGAACCGCTATATATATATATATATATATATATATATATATATATATATATATATATATATATATATATATATAAGGATTTTCGTTTAATTTCAACAATAGTCTTTTAATGAAGTGAAGCGAGTAACACAATTTTACAACTTTATTAACCAAATCACGCTGAATATTACTCAACTTCATTACCTTTGACTCGAAGGAACATAACACTTGTTGTAAATGCTTACTTAGTACGGCCCCGTTAACTTAAACACCTACTACATCACCTTTCTCAAGAAGAACGTCATACTTGTGGTATACTTTGTATAACCCCATCTACCCAATCATTCCACTACATTACCTGTAGCTAGAATGAATATCACCCTTTTGGTATTCTTTGAACAACGCTGTCACTCAAATCACGGTCAATATTATTTCACTATATTACCTTTAACTAAAAACGTCACGCTTGTGGTAAGCTTGGTACAATCTTAACCCGATCAATTACTCCACAACATTACCTTTGATTAGAGGGAACATCACACTTGTGATATACTTTATACATACCCATCTATCCAATCACTTCACCGCATTACCTTTGATTAGAGGGAACATCACACTTGTGATATACTTTATACATACCCATCTATCCAATAACTTCACCGCATTACCTTTGATTAGAGGGAACATCACACTTGTGATATACTTTATACATACCCATCTATCCAATCACTCCCCTACATTACCTTTAACTAAAGAGAGCATCACATTTGTGGTATACTTGGTACAATCCCATTAATTTAATCACCTACTACATCACCTTTGATAACAGGGGACATCACTACTTGGTACAACCCCACCAACCCCATCAACCCAATCACGCCATTACATCACATATTGACAACTGGGAACGTCACTACTTGGTAAAACACCATCAACCCCATCACCCCATCAACCCATCACCCCATCAACCCATCACCCCATCAACCCTATCAACCCCATCACCACACTACATCACCTTTAACAACTGGGAACGTCACACTTGAGCTGTACTTGGTGTCGGTGTGGTCCTTGGTACAACCCCGTCACCCAATTAACACCATCAACCCAATCACCCCACTGCATCAACTTTCACAAGATGAACGTCATACTTGTGGTAAACTTGGTACAACCCCATCACCCCATCAACCAAATCACCCCATCATCCCATCACCCCACTACATCACCTTTAACAACAGGGAAGGTCACACTTGAGCTGTACTTGGTGTCGGTGTGGTCCTTGGTACAACCCCATCAACCCTATCGCCCCATCAACCCCATCGCCCCACCACCCTATCACCCCATCAACCAAATCACCTCATCACCCCTATCAACCCCATCACCCCATCAACCCAATGAACCCCATCACCCCATCACCCCATCACCCACTACATCACCTTTAACAACTGGGAACGTCACACTTGAGCTGTACTTGGTGTCGGTATGATCCTGCCACTCAAGTCGAACCTCCGCCTGAGACATGTCGACCGTTGCTGTACCACTGTACACCAGATTGTAGATGTTGTTGTCGAACCCCGTACACAGGCAGGGTTTGTCCGTGACGGATGGACACTGGTCAGTTATCAGATCCACGCTGCACATCTGGGAACAACGGGCAACTTTGAAATGGGACGGAGTTGTCTAGCGGTAGAGAGCTGGACTGCTAACCCGTAAGTCTCGAGTTCGAATCCGGGTTCAATTCAGCAGACCGTCCCAGAGTACACCCAACTCTGATGGGTACCTAACTCACGTTATGGAAAGTAAAGGCGGTTGGGCATCGTGCTGACCACACTATCTCTTCATATGCCGAGGTCACAGAAACAAGTGAACTCTACTTCACTTGAGTTGCCCCATAGACCGTCAGGTTTGAAAGAGAAACTTTACTTTTGAAATAATTAGGAGAGCTAATAAAACGAATATTCAATTAATGATTCCCATTCGCTTAATTCCATGACTTCTCTAAATCCAAAGACATCAAATCCTAGGAATGAAGGTTTAACTATAAAAATTATTAATTCAGCGAAAAATATAATTAAAATTCAAAGTATGAACATTACAATAAATCTGTCAATTAAATACAAAATTTAAATAAACTAATAATATTTAAATTAAGCTAACCTTTAGCCATTGACAGAAGCATTACATATTGCTTCATAAAGAATTATGTAATTGGGGATAAAGAAAATAAGAAAGTTCTCAGGAGTGTAGAAATCATTGTTTAACAGTATAAAAGTACCATAGAATTGAGGTACACAGACCTATTTTTAGACATAGCTTATAGTCTACATACGATTGGCTTGAAAGAATCGTTTAAAATATAAATACACCAAAACACCCGTCTGATCTAGAGTTATCTTACCGTCTGGAAGTCTTCAGCACCGGCCAGTTTAAACTGGAAGTTGACCGTCTGGGTGGTGTCGTCAATGCTGGAACCGGTGATGTCCAGAGTTCCGATGTACATGAAGTTATTTGTGTCTGCGACAAGGCACTGGTCGTCTGAATCTGCTGGTGCCTGGTACTGTAGGGTCAGGTCATGACACTTGAACTCTGATGGGTAAATAAAGATAAACTCAAGGTCAGGTCATGACACTTGAACTCTGATGGGTAAATAAAGATAAACTCAAGGTCAGGTCATGACACTTGAACTCTGATGGGTGAATAAAGATAAACTCAAGGTCAGGTCATGACACTTGAACTCTGATGGGTAAATAAAGGTAAACTCAAGGTCAGGTCATGACACTTGAACTCTGATGGGTAAATAAAGGTAAACTCAAGGTCAAGGTCATGAGACTTGAACTCTGATGGGTAAATAAAGGTAAACTCAAGTTCAGGGTCACGAGACTTGAACTCTGATGGGTAAATAAAGGTAAACTCAAGGTCAGGGTCATGAGACTTGAACTCTGATGGCTAAATAAAGATAAACTCAAGGTCAGGTCATGACACTTGAACTCTGATGGGTAAATAAAGATAAACTCAAGGTCAGGGTCATGAGACTTGAACTCTGATGGCTAAATAAAGATAAACTCAAGGTCAGGTCATGACACTTGAACTCTGATGGGTAAATAAAGATAAACTCAAGGTCAGGTCATGACACTTGAACTCTGATGGGTAAATAAAGATAAACTCAATGTCAGGGTCATGAGACTTGAACTCTGATGGCTAAATAAAGATAAACTCAAGGTCAGGTCATGACACTTGAACTCTGATGGGTAAATAAAGATAAACTCAAGGTCAGGTCATGACACTTGAACTCTGATGGGTAAATAAAGATAAACTCAAGGTCAGATCATGACACTTGAACTCTGATGGGTAAATAAAGGTAAACTCAAGGTCAGGTCATGACACTTGAACTCGGATGGGTAAATAAAGATAAACTCAAGGTCAGGTCATGACACTTGAACTCTGATGAGTAAATACAAACAAACCCCATTATTATTTTATTTTGTATTGGCTGACTATTGAATTTCAATCAATATTGCCTTAATAGATGGTGATAGAGTTTGGCTTTTGAAATCAGACAACATAAAATACGTGCTTTCTAATTGATAGGTGTTTTATTCAAGTAAAAAAAAAAGAAACGTTAACCTTCGAACCTTAGAGTTCATGTTACAAAGTTCACCTGTTTATGTGACCTCAGCAATTTATGAGATCAACATTATACCCAGTTGCCTTAACTTTCCCTAACGTAAGTTAAATACCCTTTAGAGTTGTTTTCATTCCCTTATCAGATAGGCCGAGCCGATACTGATATGGTTATGATAGTCAGTTTTATCAATAAGTGTAAAATAAACTATAATTTTGGACTTATTTATTTATATTGGTTTTTAATTAATTATATAGTCAGTTTTATCAATGAGCGTAAAATAAACTAAATTTGGATATTTGTTTATATGGGTTTTTAATTAATTATATAGTCAGTTTTATCAATAAGTGTAAAATAAACTATATTTGGACTTATTTGTTTATATTGGTTTTTAATTAATTATATAGTTAATTTTATCAATAAGTGTAAAATAAACTACATTTGGACTTATTTATTTATATTGGTTTTTAATTAATTATATGGTCAGGTTTATCAATAACTGTAAAATAAACTATATTTGGACGTCTTTATTTATATTGGGTTTTGATTAATTATATAATCAGTTTTATCAATACGTGTAAAGTAATTTAGATTTGGACTTATTTATATTGGTTTTTGATTAATTGTATACTCAGTGTTATCAATAAGTGTAAAATAAACTATATTTGGACTTGTATCGGGGTGTAATTATCTTACCTTTGATTGCAGGAAACTGTGAACTTGGGCTGTAGTGAAAAGCTGATGACACGCCCTGCCAAGCTAGACGGACCTCGCCATGGCTGTAGACTGTAGCGGCCACACCCGTAAACACGAAGCTGTAGACGTTGTTGTCATGGGACTGGCAGTGGCACATGACGTCAGGCTGGTCAGTGCATTCTGTGGAGGCCATGTCCAGGCTGCACACCTGTGGGTGTGGGTGGGATAAGAGGGTTATCACGTGACGGGCGTGAGTTCGGTGAACTCAAGAAAACACAATCATAAGCATACTGGACTCACGGAAAATAGCATTAAATTCAAACACACACAATCACAATCGGAATGTATTAAACGAAGAGCAGTTGTGGGTTACATCGGTTGTTTTAAAATTAAAATTATACATTTTAGAACTCAAATAATTAACCGTTGAAAGGTCCCTTTATGTAGCAGACACTCGTAAAAATAGTAAAACATATTAGTATTCACTTGAATGTTTTTTTTTTTTAAAATTAGTCATTGTTAACTTCTAAATATGCACACTTTTTTATCGAACAGATTTATATAATTAGTTTCTCTAATTTATTAAAAATAATATAGATCTAGATCTTGAAAAGAAAAACACAAACGTTTTAAAACTTTTTTTTTTAATGGCTATTTATTTTTTAAGTGCTATAGCGTTACATCAGGCGTATGAACATTATAGTACAGTAATGCAGAGAATTTGAATATACTATGTGCTGTTCGTAAGAAAATTTGTAGTTCGTGCGGTCAGGAAGCCAATTACATAAAGACATGATAGGGATATAACATAGATGTAAAGCAGGTGGAAAATTATTGCAGTTGGGATAATGGATTCAAGCAGGTGGAATATTATCACAGCTGGGATAATGGATTCAAACAGGTGGAATATTATCACAGCTGGGATAATGGATTCAAGCAGGTGGAATATTATCACAGCTGGGATAATGGATTCAAGCAGGTGGAATATTATCGCAGCTGGGATAATGGATTCAAGCAGGTGGAATATTATCACAGCTGGGATAATGGATTCAAGCAGGTGGAATATTATCGCAGCTGGGATAATGGATTCAAGCAGGTGGAATATTATCACAGCTGGGATAATGGATTCAAACAGGTGGAATATTATCACAGCTGGGATAATGGATTCAAACAGGTGTAATATTATCACAGCTGGGATAATGGATTCAAGCAGGTGGAATATTATCGCAGCTGGGATAATGGATTCAAGCAGGTGGAATATTATCACAGCTGGGATAATGGATTCAAGCAGGTGGAATATTATCGCAGCTGGGATAATGGATTCAAGAAGGTGGAATATTATCACAGCTGGGATAATGGATTCAAACAGGTGTAATATTATCACAGCTGGGAAAATTGGTTCTAGCAGGTAGAAAAAAAAGCAGATTGAATAAAGGTCACTCACGGTTTCAAAATTGTCCGAGCCGGCGTACTTGACCTCAAATTTGACAATTTGTGAAGGTGTGTTGGTGTCCGTCACGTCCATGTCACCAATAAAGGTGAACACGTCCCGATCAGCCACGATACACTCGTTGTTGTCAAAACTAGCCTCCAGAGTCATAAGAGGGGCGATAATCTCTGGAATCAAAAGGACGTAGGGGACATAATGGTATAATTATTATAATTAGTTGAAATTGTACTTGAAATCAGAATAAGTAAGAGCGATACTTTATATAATAATACAATATTAAAACAATAATTGCTTGAATTATAAAACATAAAAAGTGTTAAATTGTATTTGCAAAATCATATAATTTTAATATTATTTTTATTAGTCATTATTTTGAAAGCCGAATAAAGTGATATATCTGTAATAAATGTTTTATTAGAAGTTATTGCAAATGAGATTTACTGAACTAACATTTCCTTTGACTTGTATACAGACTTTGATATACAAAAAAATGTTTTTAAAAAAAAAAAGATATACCAAAAAAGATGTAAACATTTAAATACTTTCTATTTTAGCATAATGTAACGTTACGCATAAGTAATAAATCGGTTGGTGAAAAGTTAACCCACAGTTCAATATCAGAAAGATGTGATAATGATACAATTATATCGCAAAACTATACTGGATACGATGAATTAAGGAAAAAATAATCTCTGGAATGAAACAAAAACACGTAGAGTCTAGACCCTTGCGAGCCTTTAGGTTAAACGATAAAGAGTAATAGTGTATCGGAAACATTTTAACTGATTTTTTTTTTAAATTTAAAGACTAGGAACATAATATTAAAAAATCATCCACAAAATTTAATTTTAACACATCTGTTATAGTTGGCAATTTGTCTATTTGTATTAAGCAGATAAAACTGATTTCTTCTTCTTCTTCGTTCTTAATTATAGTGTTGGCAGAGATTCATTCCAACACAATTAAGTAATGCACGCCGACTTGTTGTGCGTCTTATCTCTGTTGGACCGCAACGACGCTCCGAGCGGTTGATAAAATTTTCTCTATTTAATTCGTTGTTGTTCAAAATCCAAGTTTTTAATCGTAAATCTAGGTCATGATAACGCTAGAGCGGCCATTTTTCGTTGTATTTACTTCTTGCAGTTTTCTCGTTAGGTTGATTTTGTATTTTATAGAATTATTTTTGTAAAACAACTCGCAAAACGGCATTTTTTAACACTGCGGAATGCCATTCAGCAGCCGCGACTAAACGTTTACGTCGCCGCATTATAAAATTAACGAAAATTAAAGTATTCATACTAAGACTAATCCAATCCATGATTTTTTGTTGAAAAATTGACGTTCTTTCGTTTTCTATGAATGAGAACCCATGAAAAGTAATTCTTATAATTAATTTTCCCGAATAAAGCGTATTTTTTTTGCCCGAAAAAAATCAACTCTGTAATTTTCTTCTTTAAAACTAAGTAATTATCTTTCTTCAATAAATAAATACTTATTTAAAATTTATATCAGTGTGTAGTGCATTCAATTACGATACAATTTTATAAAAAAATGTGTGGGGTTTAAATCAACGGGTAAAAATATATGGGTCGTTTAGCCGAAAAGAAACTGAAAAAAAAATAAGTGAAAAAAAAAACGTGAAAATAATTACGGGCTTTAGGCCGTAGACTCTGATTTTCAGCCTGTTTTTCTTTTTGGGTTTGCTTTCATAGCTTTTGTCCAACCAAGAACAAACTACAAGACACCAGTTGTTTGCTTTCGGAAATGTCTCTCCTAGACGAGTGGCGTCCACAGCTATCTGCCCGGGGGTTCGAACTCTGAACTTATCGGTTCAGCAACCATGAGCTTTACCGACCCGACCACGAAGACCTCCAAACAATGATTTTAAAAAATACGCAGAAAGTAAATCTACCCTTAACATCAGAGAAAGTCTGCGAGGCGCTGTAGAGGGTGTTGTAGGATGTATCACTCCACGCCAGACGAACTTGACCGTTGGAAAACTTGGCAGAAGCGGCGCTCTGGTACCTGACGGTGTAGACGTCTGCCTGGAACTTCTCGCAGAAACATTGGGCGGGGCTTGTTGCCTGGCAACCATCTTGTCCGATGTCCACTGTGCAGAACTTTAAAAAATATATTCTTTTAACATAGTCGTTATCACAATGGCATAGTTATCAATTGGGTATATTGACATTCTTGTTCTGAAATACATACAGTTCTAATTTGGTAAGGTTTTAAATAAAATCTATTAAAAGAACTGCATTGGAGGCCCAAAATAATTGAATAATTAAAGTTCTAATTATTAGTCTTAAAAAATCTACCAATTCTTACTTAATTGATTAGAAGCAAAAGAAACTACATTATTAATAATTTGTCCATTGGCAATTTATGAAATTAATTAGAATACACTTGTCTTTTTGTCTTGATTAAAAAACGAACCTATTTATTAGTTAAGCCTGCTTTGTAAACTTAGTTAAGAAATAAAAAAAAAAAAAAAAAAAAAAAAAAAAAAACAAAAAAAAAAAAAAAAAAAAAAAAAAAAACAACAACTTTAGAATATTCTTGTTCTTTATCAGTTTTGAATTACCAACCTCACTTTCGCGTATCCCCCCCCCCATTGCTAATACAAAAGTGCCGTGTAACCTTAACAACACATTAAGCTTAAAATTTAAATATATTTTTTTAACTGCGGAAATAAACTGTATTCATTGAAGAACAACACGGAGAACTTATTGTATATGAAGTTATGTATTTCACTCACAGGCTCAAACATGTAGGCGTTTTCTTGTTTGAGTTCAAAATTGATTATCCGCGGCCAGACATTGGCGGCCCGCCCCGTGACGTCAACGGTGCCGACGATTGTAATGACCTCCTCGGCCACGGTCACCGGGTACATGTTGATGACGTCACAGCTGATATCTGGGGAGACAAAATGGCGGCTAAAACACGTGGATAGTCTTAAGTGTTGAACTACCTTAATAATAGTGATATATTCTGTAGCATTAAATAATCCTGGGACAATTGGAACTGTTTAAAGCTAAAGAATAGTTGAAAGGTAGGATCTATTTATTTAACACTCTTAACTTGGGTTCGATCGAACCCCACGCGAACCCCAGGGGTTCGATGAGTTTGTCTTAAGGGTTCAACGGAGGTCACACGATCGAAGTTTGTCATTGCTGACAACAGAACTATATATGAAGGGCTTGGTTACTGCCCATGTGAAACTGGTAGAGTTCGGAACTTACAAAAAGTTTAAGAACCACTGCTCCAGGGAGATAAGGTTGCTGCTTAAAATATATATAGGCCTACATAAAATAATGACTTATTTTGGAGTTGAAATTCCAACCTATCAATGAGGAATTCTCAGGTTACATAAATCCTAAGATACCTATATTTCAATTTAATTAGTACAACTATGCGTGCAAAAAATACCTTTTATGGAAGGATTGACAATGACGTCACTGACTTTGTTCCTCCCGAGGGAGTCAGTCCAGGCGAGACGGACCTGGGCCTTGGAGCAGGTGGGCGTGGCCTGCTGCTGGTAGACGACGGTGTAGACGTTGTCCACAAGGCTCTCACAGTAGCAGGGTTGGGTGGAGGGGGCGGAGCATCCGTCTGAGAGAACATTGACCGTGCACATCTGAGAGGGGAATTGTACATTTAAAAAAAAATATTTTAAGGGGAAAACGTTGTTCAGTGGTATAGTTTAGGATAGTTGTAAGTATTGGTCGAATGGTAGAGCGCTTTGCTGGTAGCCCGTTGGTCTCGAGTTCGGATCTCGATTTGGACTTAGGACAGTAGCAATAGTTATTTTTTTAAAATTATTTTAGAGGAAATCTTTTTCCAATGATATAGTTTAGGATGGTTGTAAGTATTGAGCGTAAGACGGCGTGGTCGAATGGTAGAGCGCTTTGCTGGTAGCCCGTTGGTCTCGAGTTCGGATCTCGATTTGGACTTAGGACAGTAGCAATAGTTATTTTTTAAAAATTATTTTAGAGGAAATCTTTTTCCAATGATATAGTTTAGGATGGTTGTAAGTATTGAGCGTAAGACGGCGTGGTCGAATGGTAGAGCGCTTTGCTGCTAGCCAGGTGGTCTCGAGTTCCGATCTCGATTCGTACTTACGACTGAAGCACGTCTGAGTGTAGCACGTCATTGAGTCCACCCAACTCTGATGGTTACCTGATTTACGTTTGTGAAAGCAAAGGCGGCTATAGGCTGATGGCTCATGCAGGTTTTATTGAACCGTAGAACTGGTTGTTGACCTACTTACCAGCCCTAAACACACCATCACTTCCTATTCCAAGGTCAAGAAAAATGAATCGCTAGGTCTAATGAAGGAACTTTACTGAAAGAATCGAGTACCGACACTAAGCTTCTGTAATGTCCATCAGTTTAAATAGGTTAAAGACCCCCGGGGTATTGAGGGGGGTATTGAGGCAAAAAAGTAATCTGGATACAACGTTAAGAGCAACATATTTTAAATTATTAGGTAGAAATATGTCTATCTCACATACGTTTTATTAAGATATTACCCAAAGTAATGCATTTTAATATTGGCGTAGGTGTTTGCATAAATAGTAAGAAATAAGAATACATTTATTGTTTAAAAAATATAACATTTTACTCATTCGTTTTTAAATGTTCATTTAAAAAAAATAAGTTAGATTGAAAAAAATAATTGAAATATTTTACAATATTTAAAATTGTTTCTGTCCCCCCTCCCACCTTAGTTTACAGGTAGTTCACTAATTAGTAAAATTTTAAAAAATTTGACTCCAGTACAGCTTAATTAACTACTCCCTTCATCGACACGTTAAGTGGTTAGTGAATTTAACACTAACCCATACCTCAATCATGTGATACAATACAAAACAAAGAACTTACAACTTCGTAGATGTCAGAGTCGTAGTACTTCATTTGGAACTGAAGCGTCTGCGACGTGGCGTCGACGGTGTAGTCAGATGCGTCGAGTGTTCCCCTGTATAGCAGGGAGTCAGCCCCTGTGATCAGGCATTGCTGGTTGGTTGCCTGCGGCAGGTAATTCACTGCCAATATCTGGCATTTGTCTGAATTTGACAGGTAATGGAATAATTACAGCGTTATCAAGGTACATAAAAAGATTACTACTTTTAACAGTAATACGTGTCGTTTCAGTCATGTTATTGCATCCACATCCACATCCCCATGCACATGCACATACACATACACATGCACATGCACATGCACATGCACATGCACATACACATACACATACACCCACACCCACACCCACACCCACACCCACACCCACACATACACATACACATACACATACACATACACATACACATACACATACACATACACATACACATACACATACACATACACATACACAAACACATACACATACACATACACATACACATACACATACACATACACATACACATACACATACACATACACATACACATACACATACACATACACATACACATACACATACACATACACATACACATACACATACACATACACATACACATACACATACACATACACATACACATACACATACACATACACATACACATACACATACACATACACATACACATACACATACACATACACATACACATACACATACACATACACATACACATACACATACACATACACATACACATACACATACACATACACATACACATACACATACACATACACATACACATACACATACACATACACATACACATACACATACACATACACATACACATACACATACACATACACATACACATACACATACACATACACATACACATACACATACACATACACATACACATACACATACACATACACATACACATACACATACACATACACATACACATACACATACACCCACACATACACATGCATATATCTATACTGAGGCTCACTTTTGATGAGAGGCAACTGTTTAGAGGAGGTAGAAAAAGGTGTAGGTGAGTTGTCGCGCCATGTGAGGCGTACATCAGCCCTAGAGAAGGGCGTGGTCGCCGTTCCGTTGTAGACAAAGGTGTAGACGTTGTCCTGGAAGGATTGGCAGTAACAGAGCGAGGTTTGCTGGTCGGAGCACGTGCCACGTTTCATGTCCACTCGACAGTCCTGTATGAAGGTAGATGGCTCACAGTGTAGATTTTATAAGACGCGACTTAATGAAAATGAAGGAATATTTTACAGGAAATGTACTTTACTAGACAATATAAAAAAGTAGTTTATGTTTACTATTGAATGTTGAAAGCATGTCTCTGTAAAGTAATCAACAGATACATGTGATAGTAATATCGAAGAAAATGAAGGGATGTTATACAGGAAATTTATTTTACAAGACAATTTAAATGTAGTAACAACGAAGAGACATAATAAATTTAAGTATAAAACAAGAAACATTACTCATTCA